CGAATACTTTTCCAAGATCTCAAATTATACCCGATAAGAGGCACTCGACTAATGAAAAAATTATTTTCAGATTACTATCATTAAATAATATGACAGTTACTATTTCCACAATAATTTTCACCACTCACAGGATTGTATCTTGAAATTTAATTGGAAAGAAATCAAATTGGAAAATGAGTTTTTCCTGATAAGTAAATTAATAGTATCATATTGTGTTCATAACGTTGTATCGCATTATGATAATAAAAACATTTTATTCTATACAATTCTTTTTTATTTATATATAATTTATTTATATATATAAAATTTTATAATATAATCGGACTCTATATGGCCTACAGTTGCAATTTTTTGCTGAATCTAAAATAAAAAAATAATCAGACTCTCTCAAAAGAGGAAACATTTCTGAACATTAAGAAGATATATATGATTTTTTCAAGCATTTACATAAAGATTTGAAGAAAAAATTTTGAAGAAACATTTAGATTATATTGAATACATATGTCTCAATATGATCTAAGAATACGTTTCCCTCTTTTTTTTGTTAAAAAATGAAAAATAAAATGATCCAATGTTATTTTTATAAGACGATATATTTATTAATTTATTGACTTGTATATACACGTACAAAGAATACACAAAGAATTATTTTCTAAACAACCAATATATTGTGATATATTAGACATATTACACGGAGAAAATTTTTTTCTTAGAGTTTACTCTGAAAATATGATAGTCCTGAGATAACATTGTATTTTGAAGAATTTTATGTAGTACTTAGTGAGTACTTTTTAGTACTCTCTGCATTTTCTTATTTTTAACAACTTGAGAAAATACAATATTAAAAAAATTCTGAAAAAATTCTCAGAACTTTATGAGAAGAAAATAAATAATTTTGTCTCTTGCAGCTTTTCTATAAAGTTGATGGTATTTGAATAAAAAATTATTCAAGATCAATATTTAGCAATTTTTAGTAATTAATATCTTGTTAACTATTGCGAAAATTGCAAAATAGTAGAGGATTTTTCGACTCAGTTTAGTCCGCTTTATCTATACTAAAGCGATTAGCAAAAACTTTCGGGATGCCCTATATAATAAGTTTGATTAATTTTATTGAAGTACATGATAAAAATCTTTAAAATATCGTATTGTACCACAACTACCATATTTTTAGGGTAAATTTTAAGAGACAATTCTGTCCGTGTAAGCATACTAGGCTATATTGGATCCAGTTGCCTTGTATCGACTTTGTTATCATGCCTAAATGGCAGCTTTAATCGTTCTATAATAATCTCAGTAAAAGCAGCTGTTCGTTATTAATTGCTGTGAACAGTCGCGTGCCTCGTGCTGAAATATTCCAATCTGTGCAAAAGTGGTTCATGGCCGGTTCACGATGGTATCATTATGAGCTTTTACGCGCTCATAAAGACAGAAATGGAGTGACGAAGGAGAAAACGGCCAGAATAGGGATAGTAGAGATAACAAGAAAGCATGGATATTGCAAATTTGCGAGCCGCATTACCGAAGAGAAAGCAATTATAGCCGGAGAGCAGGTGGTTGAGATACGAGGCGATACTAACCAGTGCGACGTCTACCTGGAGGACATAAAGCTTAACGCGTTAATAAAGGCCAGTAGTACCAAGTCTTTAGCCTCTTCATGATTAGAAGATATGCATATTAGATACAGTAGTTATCTAAAATACAATAACGTATTCTGAAGAAAAATACTGTTATTAAAAAATTGGATATTGCATATATCAATTCTCGTACTTTTTATGTAACAAATATTACGTTTTTATTCTATAGTTATTTATTGAAAAAAAAAATATGGAAGAAAGATCAAGAAAATAATGCAGTTTAAAATAAAAAAATACGTTATGATAATAAGAAAAATTGAAAGCGTTATCATATTAAATGTTGTTTAGAAACGTTATCAGCAGGTATTTTTTAAGTATCGATATCGCGAAACTTTAGTTCAATAAAGGTATAAACAAAAGGCAATTTGAAGACGAGTAACATATATGTATATATAAGTAGACGCAATGATAAAGACGTTTTACGATCGCAGCGCGAGCTTGCGAAATTTTTCAATGAAAAACTGACGAAAAAAAAAGATGAGAAAGAAAGAGGAAGGGGAGAGAAAGAGAGGCTGACACCCCGCCGCGCGGTGCTTTAACGAGAAAAATACCTGCAGTCGTCGAGCAATTTTATTTACAATGGTTAAACGAAATCTTGAAGAATGTAAACGGTGAACTCGTAAATCGCACCGCGGAATCTATTGTGCTTTGACTTAGAAAAATAAACCTTGCTCCATCACCGTCGTGTATTTCAACACACAGACACACGACTGTATAACTCGGATGGAAAGCAAGGTAACGTTGTTTTGCATTCTCCATCTAACGTTCGCGTATTCAAGGCATGATGAAAACGCATATTTTTCAAATACAATGCGTTAAAAACTACCAATTAGTCAGTTCTTCACAGCGTTCTTTGAAAAATGTTAATAATGAATATCAGCAGGAAGTTGTGCCAGGAAAACAAGCGAACAAATACAATCACCGCAAAAGACATCGCGTGGAAGCCTTAAGTGAGACGGTAAGTGAATGTAAATACCAGCACAGCTTAAGCCAAGGATGTCCCAGGAAACGGAAATATTTGCGGATGGTTTGGTGCCACGAAAGTTCGGTATTCATTTAAATGGCGATACCCACAAGTTCTCCACTCCGTAATCAGCTTACCGATTTTCCTACGCGTTCTCGAACAAACATTGATATTTGTTCGAGATATTTATCATGAAATTGCTATACTGTGAATAATATTCTCAGAATTAATATTAATTAATATATAAACAACTACAATAAGGTTTATGATTAAGGAATGACAATCTTTATCTAATTTTAGAGAGAAATTTTCACAATAAATTTTATATAAAACTGCTTTATAATAACTGCTATATAAAAAATAAAAAGAATAATATTAGCTTGATGCATAACGATAAAATATGAAATACACTTTGGCTCCTTACAAAGAAAATATCTTTTCCTCATATATAATTGTAGCAGATAATATAAATACGTCGTAGTGTTAATTCATTTGTAGGAATAATAATGAAAAATCGAACGAAGAATCGAACTATTTAATAACGTTTTATTATAATTTAGCTCCAAAAAAACAAAGTTTTTATTATTTCACCGTAAAAATTTATAGCACTTTTATATATTTTTGTAACTGATTGTAAAAAAAACACAAGGATACTTTATAACTTTGTAAACGTATAAGTGGTTTAAATTGCTTTTCGATTGTCATATAAGCTCATTGATCCGATTATATGAGGTAAGTCGTGAAATTTATTGGTTATCGTTTCTTGAAACCGATAGTTATCAATTCGATGTAAGAAAGTATTTTTGTGATTATCTGTACTTCTGTGTTAATTTTATATAGAAAGATCTGTAGTGTAAAATAATAGAATCGGATGATGGTGTTAACTACAATAAAAGAAATTCTGACAAGAATGTAAGCCAGACTCGCAATGTTATTTATCGACAATATTCGCTTAATAGAACGATTCGCAATTACGCGGAGAAGGATTTTATCACGTAAGTGCGGATTTATTATATCTGTTATAAATGTGTGCTTTCGAACTTACGTATCTCACTCGAATGATGAGTAATTACGTTACTATGGAAGAAAAGTACAATGCTCTCTGAAGGAAAGCAGGTGTATAGTCGTTACTCTTTAGAATCATTTGTTCAACCGTTACGTTAAGGGTCAGGGCTAGAAATGATAAACGATCCGTTCTCTTACCCACCTTCTCGCCAGCGGATTCCGTTCCGTGTATTTCTCCTCCGAGATCACCTCCGAGGGGAATATAACAGGCGCATCGGAGAAAGAAAGATGAAAGGAGATAGAAAAATATGACCGCCCCGGTTTCTTCGTTCACCTTCGTCTTAATGTAAGCGAAATTTAAAGAGGCAGTTCTTTCTCTCTCTCTCTCTCTCTCTCTCTCTCTCTCTCTCTCTCTCTCTCTCTCTCGCTAGTGAAGCTTAAGAAAGAGGAAATTCGTGATCTCGATTATGATGACGATCAAGACGACGACGACGACGACAGCGCATCGCGACGGAAAAAATGTGGAGGGACGCGCGTGAAGACGCGCCGCCGCCCTCGGGACGATTTAAATCAATTCACCGCGTAGCATGGTAGATAAATTTCCGGTCTGACGTTTAAGCGATCGCGAAAGTTTTTCGTAGCAAGTCGTACGTGCGATATGGCCTGGTATAAAAGTTTGCTCTTCAAACGATCCGGTCGGCAAACTTCTTTTCGCGCTAGTACTTGGGGTATACCGGTGCATGATTAAATCAGGTATACCGCATCGCGGTAAGAATGATGTATGCGAATCGCTTGCGTTCTGCGCTACGACGTACGTGCGTTCGATTATCGGCGAGTAATTACTTATGCAAACTCGAGAAGCGAACTCTTCGACACGTTAACGCGTATCTCTCCGAATTTATCTCTCCGTGGTGCGACGAATGGTTACAGCGATAAAGGAAAGGGAAAAAGTTGAAGGATGTCGTTATCAAATTTAAGTCCGCGCGGATAATTTTGCGGTAATGGAAAGCTCTATCTCTAGAAGAAGGGAGCAGAGCTTAGTTCAACATCGGTATCAACCAATCCCAGGTGTTCAATTGGCGCTCTGCCAGAATTTAAGCTTGGCTTAAATTTCGTGCAGTTGCTACGTAACTAGGGCAGATTCAGATTAGAATTAACTAATTGTTGCGTACACCGTCGTAATTAGGCAGGATTCCCGCATGCTCCCCGCATACTAATATTTAATAGAAACCTAACCGCGGGATATCGTATACGGGAGGAAGTTAAACCTATTCCATGGCACGCAATCGTGACGTCTTACAATCTATCGGTAATACTCTGAAATGAATAGCAATTTTTAACTCTTTACACACGTTTAATCAGCCATTCAATATAAAATTATTAAAATAACTTACCGATTACATTTAAATGGACTAGATGACTCATGTGGGGCGTCGTAGAGACCTGGCACTCGTAAATACCGCTGTCCCGATGCTGTGGATACTTTATTTGAAGTGTCCAGTCGTCTGAATGAGCGTTGTGAATCGCTCGAAATCGCTGGTCGTTCGTGTACGTATAACGGCCAATTGTGAGCAAATGGACGTCTCTGTGCCGTACCCACGATACTTGTAGCGTCATCTGTAAAGGAAAACGATGAGAGTTGAGAGACAAGATCGACTCGTGAGAATCACGAATGATTTCATCTCGAATCTTTTGTATATTTGCTTAGGGTTACTTATTGTACTGGGACATATAATTGGTGGTTTATTTGACATACCGTTTAATTAACCAAATATCAAGGGTTCCAATCAATTTCTAACTTAAAAATTTTGAACGTGTTGCTAGTGCGACTTATTAAGAAAGCAAATTTTCTTGCATATAATCAAGATATGAATAAATGAACATTTCTCTTAACTAAATCTATACATCTGGAAGTCTACAGCAAAATAAAAAGTACAAGTAAAATGTTAATCCCAGCATACGTTACCATATGAGAAAATAATAAATTTTTATAAAGAAACAAAGCTTTTACTTATCAGAAATTAATGAAAACACTAGAAACCGCGAAACGTGAACCAAATAATTCAGTTTTTATCTTTGCGCGCATTGAACCAGTTGAAAAAATGGGGATCATTTACTTCGAAAGCATAATTTATCGCTACGCATACCAACTGCTGTCTTTTGACAGATATAACGCACGTGCATGAGACAGCGACTCGTAAGCTGATATCGCTGTCGCGATTTCCAATGACACATGTAATAGAATAAATTACAAAACGCGAAATCTAAATTCAGACTAGCGAATGGGATATACGACGCTACATCAGATACAACTTTCGAGCGTGCACTCCGAGCGAGCGTTCCTTCCTTCTCGTACGAAGGAATTAATAGAGTCGCTTTGCATATCGTTGCAAAGTTAGCGTGCGAGATAAAACGCCTCGAGCTGAGATAATTGGACACCCGGACCCAGCGACGTGTAAATATTTGCATCCTTCGAGTAAGGTCGATACGCATTACTCGAAAAGCACATGAACATGTGCACGTAGTATAACGGTTCAGATGCGGTTTCAAATATGGTACTGCAGACGATGTCCTAAATGTGGCTATCGTATGCAGAAATGCTCGTTCTCGTTCAATATTGCTGGACAAATTGAATGTCGCGGTATCGAAAACTAAGTTTACATCGAAGGTTGGAATTAATTAAGCTTTAATTAAGGTTTAATGATGCGAACAAGTAAACACGGGACACATTACGCAATATATACATGGAAAATTGAATTAATCGAGTTAAAATTAACCGAGTTTGCCACTAGTCCTAATAGTAGCAAAGGGGATTTAAAGTTTGGAACATTAAATATTACAAACATGAAATCGTCATAACATAATGCCTAATAGGATTCATTCTCTACACTGTTTCGTATACCCTTAAATTTTAATGCTTGCTTCAATTTCTGTCCGAAGTCTTCCATTAAGGGCGCCTTTGTCTGGATTCCGAGAGACCGATATATCTATCTACTATTCTACTACAACTATTCTCTCTCTCTCTCTCTCTCTCTCTCTCTCTCTCTCTCTCTCTCTCCGTTTTCTCTGAGATTCGCTTTCCTGGATCCTTATCCAACTCACTTCGTAGTTTCCGTAAGGACTTCGCTCAGTGGGTCCTGCCGGACGAGTACGAGTTGTTGCGGAAGTTTCGGCGACCTAAAGATGTCCCTTGTTCGAGAACTTGCAGTGATATCCGAGCAGATACGGAGGAGGTAGTCCATAGATAAGGGTGTGTTCTCAGTGGAAAGGAAGGGGACGAGATAGACAGACAGAGATGGCAGATGGAATGGCGCGGAAGCAAAGCCTTGTGAGTAGATACATTCGAGTTTGGTCAGACGAGACTCGCTATCTTGTTTCTGCCGTGCATAGTTTTATTGCGCTTGTCGCGCGTATGCGTATCGCGCGCGCCCGTTATGTCTTCTGTTAATTTATGATACGCGACCGACATGAAATGCCATAGTTGCCGAGTTCGAAGGCTTCCGACTATGCCGGATCTAGGACGATGGGTCAAACACTGTCGACTCTGCATCCTGCGTTCCTGGTTCTCGCACCAGCTCCTGACGCCGAACCGCATAGTTGGCCTTTGCATACCGATTCCGCTGTCGTCGCGCAAATGCGATTTATGCGAATTCCCTTTCTCATAGCCAGCCGAGTGCAGATAGATGGACAGATTTATTCTGTCTGTTGATAAATTTGCTAAAGATGATAAAAGATATATAAGATTGAGTGAAATAATAGATGATTTAATATAAATGGAAAAATTTTTTAATAGAAATTATGGCTATTAATAACAATATTACGGTATTCAAGGAATATATTACTGAAATTTTAATGTAACATATTACATATACATTATAAAGTAACAGAGATAAAAAGTAAATATCAACATCTATTCCTTTCAAATGAAGTACTTCTCGAGTTATCCTATAATAATATATTATCCGGAAAGTTCGTGCCGATTTTGAAGGAAAATTGAAACGCAGAAAATTTAAATTTTAGTATACATTTATAAATTATATAGATTAGTCGGCACGAACTTTCCGGACAATCCAATATGTAATTTAAAAACAAATTTCCAACAATTACCAATTTTAATAGACTTTAAATGTACAAGACGTCATGGTATTTGGAAAAAAATGTCGCGCCGTTAATTCATCGTAATTTCTCATTAATTCTAGTAGAAAATTCTATGCTTTACAATAATTTTTCCTACTTTTCAATTTTGATTTTTTAGTATATTAAATGTGAAATTCTTTTTTATTTTTATAAGAAACTGTAAAACTATGAAAAGTGCTACAGGAAGTGTTATTATTTTTTTTTATATTAATAGAATGTCAGGCTATCTTTATAGACACAAATTTAGATAGTAAAATTAGGACACCGTTCTATTAATAACATAAATAATGATAGTTCCAATAACACTTTTCATACACTGAGAAAAATGGTCTGATTAGATTAAATAGTAATTCTGATGGAAAATGGACGAATCAGAATTTTCTAGTTAAATCTATTAGAATTCTAGTTGAGATAACTAGAATTGTGTGATTAATATTATTATTCTGGTACAAATAAAAATTCTAATAGATTTTACTGGAAATATTATATCAAACAGAATTCCGATTATCTCAACTAGAATTTTAATAAGTTTAATCAAAAAATTCTGATTCGTCCATTTTCAATCAAAAATTTTTTTCAGTGTAGTTCATTATCAAAATAAAAAAAGTTCCGCATATTTTGTACTAAAAATCCAAAACTAAAAATGTTAATTTCATAAACTAGTATGATACTTGCCTTCTAAAGTAGTAAAGAAAAAAAAAATTTTTTACTTTTAGTTATAGTTGTATTAGTGTCATCAACTTGTGAAAGACGGTATTTGCTGGGGATTGTAAATAAAACAGCATTATCCCTACCGGAATGGTGAAGCCTCGTTTGATGAGGAATCGATCAATCTCCCGTTTCGTCATGATGTTATATTGCTTGACGTGCGAGTTATTGGAATCGATGTCGGGCGAGATTACCGTGTTAGCGTTCGCCAGCGAATCAAATATAGCATGTACGAATTTCCAGTGATGGAGAATTTTCGATAAGCTTTGCGCCCCGTGGCGGAACTGATAAAATTACCGGCCAATTATCTCGCGTAAACAAATTCTGCGTAAGAAGATTCTGACCTAATTTTGTGCCGGATAAGATGAGATCGTGACACGAAAAGATGGAAAGTAAATTACTCTCTCATTTACACACACACACTCTCTCTCTCTCTCTCTCTCTCTCTCTCTCTCTCTCTCTCTCTCTCTCTCTCTCCCCTTTCTCTCCCTCTCCATCCCTCTCTCTCTCTTTCTCTCTCTCTCCCCCTCTCCCCCTCCCCCCTCTCTCTCTATCTCTCTCTCTATGTGTCTACTTGTCTATTTATTTGTCTCTATCTCATCATAAAACACATTCGAAAGATAAGGACATCCGACTAGCAATAGTATATTCTACCGAGAAATATAAATTGTTTACACAAAGCACATAAGGTTTCGGCATAATACAACTTCGTCGATAATTAATATCGGATTGATTCTGGTTGTGATTATGCAGTCGTTCCTATATTAATTGTATCCGTGAAAGAGCGATTTACGATATATTTTTTTAAGTATTTGAAACTGAATTTAAATCGTGAATAGAGATGACGAATAAATAATATATCGACGAAATTAACAATCCAAATTATAAGCAAATTATATGCAGGAAATTCTGTTTTATTTATTATTTCAAAATCAAAATAGTTTCATAATCCAAACAAAAATGACTTCTTTTAAATATAATATTTTTGAATTATCATAATGTGTTTGTTCACCAAATGTACACTGCGCTGAGAAATCGCGGAATTTAAACGAGATTATAAAGTATATTATAGACTAAAATATATTGGTTTGTTATAAAGCAATTAATTGAAAAATAATCCACCGATACGACACATTTAAAATTATTTTACCGAATGGAATCAGATTATCGATTACTACTTTCATAAGCAACCATTTTATTATCTGGCGAATATAATTGCCACAAGCACTCGTTTGATTTCAACATGAAAATACAATCATTAAAAAGGAAGGGGGAAACTGATAATATGAAAGATGTATTTTGGACGTAACATTACCAGTTCGATTATTATTGCAATCGATAGTCTTATAAATATTAAGATTAAAAAAGTATAGAAATTAGGTGTAAATCAATATACCGGCAGGCAATAAATACAAATTTTTCGATTATATTGAGCTTTTCATTTTTTATACGCATTTTAAGCGCATTAAAATATTATATTGATTCTCTGATATTTCTTTTAATAATTGTATTTTAGAATTTAAAGAATGCTTCCGGCTTCTCTCTCTTTGTTGAAGTTAAATAATTAATTAATGCAAACTATAGAAATCAAAGCTTTAAATGATCTAGCTGAATCTTAAATGCTTGTATGATTCTTGTGTGAATTTATATATTATGTATGTAGTCCCCAGAAATACGCACCGAAATGATTTTTCTTGAAAACGTTAACTCTACTAAACTACCGCAGTAATATCACAAATTAAATTGGCTAGCAATTTAACAAATTTTTTATG